CGTGCGCGTTTTTTTTTTTTTTAAATCTAAATTTAAGGGGAACAAAAATAATTTATGGAAGTAAATATATGTTACATATATTTTAAAATTTTAATTTTCGTTATAAATATTTATAATCATTATGTTTTAATTTTTTGAAATAACTAAGAATGTAAAAATCACATAATTTTTACTGAGTAGGGATTAATCCTTTTATCAATCAGGTTTCGATTTTTTTTAAAACTCAAAAGAAATAATCATTCAACAACAATTTCTAAATGATATTAAACATTTAAAAATTAAATGTGAGAAAATATAAAGCGAAAAGAACACATCAGCCATATGTTTATATAAGCTACATTATTCATTGAAATTCAAAAATTAGCAAGACGTAGAATTGTTGAAATTAGTTAGATGAACTATCATATAATTTTATTATTTTATTTTGTATATAAAAATACTATGAGAGTTATATCTCCGCAAATCAATAAATAAAGTATTAGAGATATAAGTGTTATTCGTACGATCCAATTATTCATATAATATATTGAATACATTATTATTTGATAATTTATTTTAATATATGATAATAGTATTTTATTATCTTATCGTTTAGTTTATGTGATAAAGTTCTTAATTAAATTTATAAATTTTATATTAAGATAAAGATATTGATAATGAGAGTAAAATCTTTTATGATTTAATTTAAAATATTCTTAAACGTTGGATCATCAGAATATCTCATTAATGATCCAGTAAAACTAATATATATGTGATAATCTCTATAAGCTAAAGATTAATTAATCTCATTAAATAAATCACATATATAGATTATCCATATAGAAATATGATTATTGAACCGACCCAATTAAGAATTTTTAATGGTTAATATTATCTTAAACTATCAATAAAATATTCTTATTTTGATGAGACATAAGAATTTTTTTAAACTTGATATCATCATAATAATTAACAAATTATTTATTATACTTTGATTCTGAACACCTATGGTCATAAAACTGTAGTTGAAATGATATTGAATGTGATTAAATACTTGTAAAACTAATGATTGATTAAGACGAAATCTGTTAACTTTGATAATAAGTTTAAACTATATATTGTCATTTATTATAACAACTAATGCAGTTGAATAAAAAAAATTTGAAAATAGTTTTTTATTTCATTTATTAGTCAATTATAATTGACATGTAACATAGTTGTTTAACTATTAGAATTTAAAACTATATTTTAAGGTTAAGCCAAAGCAAAAAGAACTCCTCCACCTGTGCCACCTATATATAATATATGATATATATGTATATATATTCAAAAAAAAGGAGAGAGGTGAGATAAAAAATTAAACGCACACTAAAAAAAATTGAAGAATTTTTCTATTAAATTTTTTGTGAGAAAATTTTAATATATCAATTTATTTTTGTGTTACGTTGGTTAAAGAATTAAATAACAAATATTGATTTCATTATAGATACGTATAGAAAGTTCGTATTTTTGAACAATTTTAATTTGAGAACACGTTGATATATATGTTTTAAATTTAATTTTTAATCTGCAATATAATTTTTTTAAGTACAAATAAATCTCATTGAATTATTTTTTATCTTCCGTTACGTGTTATGCACATATTATAATCCTACGATTATATCAAAGTCATAAATTTTTGTATTTAAATTATATTACTAAATTTTAATTTTTAATATTAGATCTTAATATTTAAAGAATTTAATATGTGA